CTAATGCTATCATACCGAGAAAAAAAGATCCTATACTTAAACCATAAAGAAAATTAATTGGACATTTATCATCAATATTTTTCATTGGATCTTCACCCTAAATTAAAAGATCTGTAAGAAATTATTGAATCTAAAAATATGATGGTGTGGTGCTGTTCACTTCGTAGACAATCATTTCCCAGACATCTTAGTTCACAAACAAACTTATTTTACAGAAAACTACTTCACGGATAATTCATTTTAAAGACAAGCCTATTTTACCGACAGTTCATTTCACCGAAAAATGATTCTATTAAAATTAGGGTTAGAATAGGTTTAGGTTAGATATAGTTTATGTAAGAAATTAGCTATCGGTAAAATAATCCATTTGTAAAGTGAGCTTGTCCGTGAATTGATTATCTGTAAAATAAACTTGTATGTGGTGTCTAATGATTACCGGCGAATGTATAAATGTTAACAAAAATAAATCTTACAGAGTAATCCATTAATACTTCTTTGTGAGATAGACGAAAATTATAATAACGAAAATTGCTATATTTTTTTTTTTGAAAAAATAAGCAACAATTTAAATCCTGAATTGATACAGTAATTTGGTTGATTAAATTCCATATTTACCTAATTTCTCCATTAAACCCAGACCCCCAATGGGGATTATCTCCAATATATAACGGACCATCATTAAATATGATAGATTGACTTTGAATATTTTTGAGACTGTAAGATCCAACCCATCTACCCTCTATGTAGAAATTTATTCGCTTTTTGGAGTCGGAAAGCGTGTACGCCATATGGTACCACCAGTTAAGAAATAATCCATAACCATCCATATCAATTAAAATGTAAGGAACATCAGTAATCGAGAAAAATATACATGGAGTTGAGTTATCCGGTTTTAACCTGAATGCAGGCGTATAGTTGCTCCCTATACCTAAATATAAATTTGTTTTTATATAACTGAAGAACGTCTTTAAGATGTAATTATTAGTTATGTGAAAATACCTTTAGAAAAAACTGTTTTATAATCATAACTGTGGCTTAAAACCTTCATTTTTAGTGTAATTGACAATTCATCTTTTACAA